AAAAACAAAAAAACCCTCAGTAATCAATTTATAATACTTACGTCTCCATTTATATGTCACAAAGACAGTGAGGCAGCTGGAAAGCACTAAAATGGTTATGAAGGGTGTGATCCAAGGGGAAGACGTTGGATAAAAAGCATCTGAAAGACACATCGAAAACTGAATTCTATTATTATTGTTGTTGTTGTTGTTGTTGTTGTTATTTGCAGAACTACTAAAGCTGAATAATAGAGTGAACATATCAAAGTAAAGCTTAGGAATAATCAGGGAGGGAGCAAATGTGGCAATTAAGAAACTCTGAAATGCTCCATATAATAATGTCTGTATAATTTGTTAAGCTAAGGCTACTGGGTATAATAGAACTAAGTACAAATTAATTATTTGAAAAGCACTGTAACAATAAAACCAACTGAAATTAAACAAGAACAATGTGTGTATGTCTGGAAAGTTCCTGTATGTACTCCCACCTTTTGACGGCACAATGTATAAAATAAGGAAATAAACTAATACATGTTTTATATCCACTAAAGCCTTTTCTTTTGCTGGATGGTTTGTTTGATTGCTAATTTCTGGCAAGGTAGATATATTCAGTATGAATGAAACAGAAAACTGGTAGATTTAAATGTTGTATTAATTCACAATTCCTTTCTTTCTCTCCTTCTGAATTGGGAAGTAGCATACATTTAATTAAATCAATGAGTCAGTCAAAAGGTTGATAATATTCTAAACAGGAAAATATTCTCACATGAACAAGGTTTAAAATAAGAAAACCAAATGCTCTACTTGTAGCTGTAACACTCAACCCCTGGTCCATCCCCCACTTACCAGAAATGAGGATTCTGGATTCACTCTCTGTCTTTATCAAGTTGTTGATGATTTTGCAGGAGACTTCACTATCCATGCCTGGCTCTAGTGTAATAGAACTGAATACATGAAAGTTTCCTGTCGTGACCTCTGTGTTTACTACGGCTGACTTCTCCATTCGGTTTCTCCCTTTGCTGTCGAACCAGAGAGCCTGGGGTCTTGGATACCACCCCTCAGAGCTGCAGGTAAGTCCAATGCCTTCACCTTTATAATCCACCAAGGTAATGGTAGGTTTGTCACCATTTGCTGCATAAAAAATAAAATATTTGATGAGACAGGAAATCCCACTAACTACTCTTATCAAGAGGAGGAATGAATTAGCTGAATTCTCTGATATGAGTGTGCAAACAGCACAGTTACGTATAATAGCAGATGAAGCAAAGAAATGGCATCCATGTTCGGAGGAGATTCTGAGCAGGGATGACTGTTTTTAAATTTTAAATCATTGATAATTTTAGTATAAAAGTATTCTATTCTGGCTGTAAAATGGCTGTAAAATGGAACATTAATAAAGTAACCAATGTGCTACTCTTTCATGAACAAGTGAAGATGGTTGCCACATGTTACCTCATGGATCCGTGACAGGAGTGAATGACCATGTGACACAAATCTCACAGTAAAGTAGATCATCCTAACTATGGCAGGTGCTTAAGTGTAGGTATCCTCTGAGTTGATTTAGTGATCCTTTCCCCCCCCAGTTATTGTGGGCCAAACAGAAGATTGACTGGTTATATTCAGTCTTTTGACAATTGTGGGCTCCTCTAAGCAGCTCTCTGGCATTTGAAAATGAAGATATTTCACCCTTATAAAGCAAGGGAAGTCTATTAAAATATCTCTAAATATTTCTAGTAACAATTTAAACTTTAAGAAACGGAAGTTAGATAGAACTGTTGATGTCAAGAGAAGATTTGGAAGACCAAGAAAAGTGTCCACTAGCATTGCACAGCAACTGATCTGATCTGCAAAGCAGAATCCATGCATCACTGCAAATAACCTGCTGAAAAGTTTAGCTGACTCTTGACTAGTTGTTTATAGATTCACAATATAGCTTTGTTTATACAATAATGATCTGCATGGGAGATTTCTTTGTATGAAACTTTTTTTTTTAACCTCATTACAAAAGTGACTGTCTAAAGTATGTAAAAGGAAACTTTGTTAGTTTTGACACATTTTATAACAAAATGCTTTGGACTTAGGAAACAAAAATTGAACAACCATACTCACTATATGGATACAGTGATAGCTTTGGAGAAAAAAGGGTGAAGCAT